AACTTAAATTTAATTCTTAAATTCAAGCTACCTTTTCTACCTTTTCTACCTTTTCATTCGCTTATAAATATGCACAAACCGCCGCAAAGTCGAAGTACAACAGATTCTAACACCGTTAAAATCTCTATCTAGCGAATTAAAACTTCACTGTCAATGTGATCAATAATAAAGTGAAAGGAAGGGAAAGTCAACGAAATGTATTGAAAACACAAATTTATTAATTTAATTAGAAAGATATCAGAAAAATGAGGAGAAAGAAGAAGAGAAAGGAAAGTAGATTTCTTACCGACCGGGAAAAGCCGTAATGTGCAAATATTTCTCTAATTTCTCGCGCATGTGTATTTTTATTGCAGCATTTAGAGCTGGCTCTAATCGGCTTTTATACTAAGCGTTTGAATAAGATGTCGAGGCGCACGTGCTACGGGATAGCGCATATTAACTCCTATTATACTCGCTGCTGGATCTCTGTATCAGTCAAAGGATGGTACGTCGATGTGTTCAAATTGCAGCTTATTTGCAGAAGAAAGACATTTGCCGTTTGTTCTTATTATTGTTGTAATCCACATCGATCGTTATTTATCGATATTTCCCTTGACAGAGACCATCGCAATTTGATTTTTTTCTTTTCACAATGACAAATTATGTCTTCACGTGAGAGATATCCACTTGCGGAAATTATAAATTTTTTTACTACTGAGGCAATTTAGATATAAAATTGAGACTTCTCCGCAGTAAATAATACACTTGGATTTATAAGAAAGAAAATTTTCAATGTTTAGTCTCAAAATCTGGTTAAGAGGAGACTTGAAATTTAAAAACATGAAAAGATGTAAATCTTAGATGATTTGTAGTACTATATATACTTGCTTATATTTAACGAGCGAATGAAGAAAAATATGTGTGTAAAATTAAGACTAAAAAAAAAAATGATAACAGGATAACAATAATGTGAGAGTTTGGAATTTATATATTAGTTACTGACTATTCTATTACTCTTAAGAATAATAATTAAAATTGAATGTCAATATAATTATACAAGAGCATTTACAAAGAAATGATAGTTCGACCGTATTAAAATTTGCATCATCAAATTATTTTCTCATATTCTTCTTTGCAGCAATATTAACGAAACAAATTTTCGGAAAATATTTCACGACACTCTACATGTACCATCACAAAAAGTAATTCCAGTAATATAAGAAGAAATAGGTATCACATAAATTATTTCATATACTATCACATCGACATATTTTACTTTTTACTTTTACATTATTTTATTTTTTTAGGAAGATCTAGAAGGAACTATCTATTTTATAGATCATCAAAAATTAAAGTTTCATTCATCGTAGTTTACAATCAATTATATATCTTAATATTACGATCATGAAAGAAAATTCTAAAGATTCACTTAATACTTTTCTTGTCATTCTTTCTTGTTTCAGCCTAGAATTTTACACCGTTCATTGTAAACTATTTCTTTTCCTAAATTACCTACGAAGTTTATTTTCATTTAAATAACAAAATCGATATCTATGTAAAATAATGAACGAAAATTCGAGAAGTCTAATTTCGAACGACGGTAATACTTCGGTTTATAATAAATAATTCGCATCGCCTTTCATTCATAAACTTCATACTTTACGAAGAAATCATTCAAATCACCCCGACGAAGGTGAATCGAAGAAAACGAAGAATTGATCATTCTGTTGATCATCTAGTGTTAGTGAGTTCGTTATTACCTAATCGAATCTCGAACTACGGAACAAGCTGCACCTGCGCAGAACTACGCTTCGAAATTGAAAGCTGAGTTTCGATAAATTCATATCACATGGTTTTCTACAAATCGACGTCGCCAGCGATTGCGGGCGTTTTGCACTTTCAAGGCGATACAGGGCTAGAATCGATTAACATACGCATAATTTACCGACCGAGATTGAAAACGAGACAGCGAGACTCAGATGCTATTCGTGCTATTCGTGATTTGCATGAAAAACAATGTCCGAGTTGAATTAATTTGCCGGCACGCGCTTCGAACTACATATCAAGCCGCGTTGGGAGTCAGGGAGAACCGCGTGACAGAGTTGATTCAGAAGCACGTGATAGTACAGAATGACCGGTTGCGTGAGCGA